ACTGCCTGTGTTGTTATCCATAACGTCTTCATATGAGGGCGGAGGTGCAAGCAAATCGTGTAGTCGAATACTGGGGACCACCACTGGTTGACCTGAATTAATCTGTTCAATGCGTGATTCGATAACTCCCTCATAAGGTGGCGGCGGTGGCTCGTAATCAGGGGGTTCTATATTGGAATGATGTCGATTTCTCTCAGAATTCAATGCTCTTTCCATTGGCGGTGCTGTCGGTGTGAGTGGACTGAGTTCTCCGCGGGGATCGTCTTCATGTCTCACATTAACACCGACGTCTCTGTCAACTGTCAGAGTAACGGGCTCCGTGATTTCAGCATCGTTGTCATTATCGGGAGCCCCAATTGCTAAACACGTATCTGAACATTTGCACCCACAGGCGTCGCCAACGTCCCTAACTTCTTTGTCACACCAATTGTCGCGGCAGTCACAGCAACTTATCAAAAACGAACATATTCCGATCAGCAGCAAAATCCACGCTTCAATTATTTTTTTGCATCTCATAGTAAGACCGCGACAGTGTTTGAAGCAATAATACGAGCACAAGATCAGACCAACAAACGCTCCACTGGCAACGAGCATGGTGTATAGAGGTGATAAAGACGACGCATCTGTTGGGAACAAGAAGTGGAGTTACTTTCAGTATATTGGCCATACACACTACAAAATAGTGCCTGCAAAATATATGTAAAACGGAAGAAATTCCATTGTATTGAATAACATACATGTACATCACTAAAACACACCAATACGCTATAACTTCGTATAATTATTCATGGTACAGAAACACTATTAGCAGCAAAATGATCAGACTGGTGCGGATCGGTTACAAAAAATTGATGTTCACTGGGTAACTCAAATCTCAAATACTGTTGCACCATGATGTATAGAATATATTGGACCGACTTTCGATAGAAATAGATGATGTATTTATGCAAACACATACAATGTACTTATATTAAGATATTAGAGCGCCCTACTGTAATATAAATACAGGTAAACGGACATTCACGTATGCACGCACGCACGCATACGGCACAAGATTCGAACTCTCGCACACGGCACAGCGCCTAACCACTGTAGGTAAACTCACAGTCACTTGGGGGCTGAAAATCAATAAATACTAATTTTAAAAAAAAATCATCCGCTATACGTATATAAATAAACAAGTTGTGAAACATGGCACCTAGTAAATCGACATCCTGTCGGTTCAAATTTCGATTTCTTACCTTAAAATGCAAAACAAAAATTTTAGAGGGGATCAGGTGTTACGTTAATAACTATTGTTCATAATCGCTACCTTGGTTTTATTCAAAACTGCACAAATCCCGCGTTTTCTGATGATATCCGACGATTTCATGAACGAAAATGGCCAGCAGCCAGAATAAGGGGGATTCGCACAGAGTTATGGGTAAATCCAGTGCGCATACTCATTTTAAGCCAATCAGGCATGCCGTAACAGCGAGTATATCCTGGGTAAATTTCTGGGTAAATCAAGGAAATACTCGCTGTTATGGCACGCCCGATTAGCTGAAAATGAGTATGCGCACTAGATTAGGTAATATATCAGTACACAAGTGACTATTATCAACTGCAGTGGCGGTGGCCCCTCCAAAATCAACCTGAAATCCTTTGTGTCAGCAAAATTTGTCCCTCAAAATGCAAGAAATTGCGTTTCAGAAGGTCTAGATTTCAAAATTGTCAAAAGGGACAATGCCCCCGGACCCCCTAGTAAGGCCACGCATTCGGCGCAAGGTTGGTGAGCAGATATCGACCCTCATGGAAAATTTGGTGCCGCCGCCTCTGAACTGTATGCACTACGTGCATGCTAGCAATGGGAGGAAATGTACAACAGCAGCACCATTTCATATTATGCATTCAACCTGTTATGAAGTATAGAATTTGTTGCTTGATTCAAGGCATCTTAATAAGGTATACTTTTCCCAGTGGAATGTCACCATGTCTATCAATCGACTGCAGCAATGGTTGTCGTATCTGATTGAACACCCTTATAAGTTCTGAATAAAAATACTTTTATATAGTTGAAAATCAACGTACCCTCGTCGTCTGCATTATCGCTTTCTTTAGCAGTGACTACGTCGTAAGAATTTGTATGACGATACGGATGAGTTGGCTTAACGCCGATATCGACTGTTTCGTTATGTACAATGTCCACTATTAAGTAAAAAAAATAGTTTAATATAATTTGGACAAAGACCAATGACGTACAATAGAAACACAACAATTAAGTTAAGCTTTCAGTTGGGACCCCGGCCTGGGCCAGTCTCATTGGTTCTCGCCGTACCAGTCCAAAACGGGAATAATTTCATCGTCCGAATCGCACAGTTTCGCTAAAGTCGGCCATTCATAACAGGCCCAAGAATTGAGGCTTCGGCCGAATAATCGGTCCGTGGCTGGTGAAGATGATATAATTTATGTAGGGCGAGTAATAGTCGCATAAAGTATAGATAAACATCAGGAGACAGGTGGATGTTGTGAGGGAATAGCCCGAAACCACAAGTCGCCATCTTGAATATAGTAAATATCGCATTTATTTTATTATATCAGGTGTGCGCCAGCTGACTGTGCCCGAAACAACTCCCCGTTTTTCCGTGATGTTACCTACTTTTACACTGGTCCCGGGTTCCTTTATCGGTAATTGTTAGGAGTTCGTATCAGCAAATGATATTGTGACGTGTTTTTTTTTTCATGAAACCACATCCCCTCTGATATAGATAGATGCACTGTGGTACTACATAGTGATAACTACCACTTCAACATGAGACAATTCAGTTTTATGAATTATGACTATCCTGGAAACTTTGAAGACTTTTAGCGACAGGGGACGTTCATCCCGTAAACCATGAACACATGAAAGCACACCCAAATAACGTTCTCTACAAACTGATGTCACCTTGTTTATATACCACCTACCTGAATCCGAACTGTTCTTACTGATACCTGAAACGGACAATAAAGTCTAAAGCAGTGATTTGCTCTTGATGGAACACGTGAGCTCGTTCCTATATATCACATCATGTTTATATTTTTCAATATTAAAGTGAAAATAATGGTGACGATGCTCAAAGTCTGATTAATATATTCATAACTCGAAATGTAAACACGTTTCACATGGTTTCTTAAAACATGATATGCAATATTATTACTGTCAAGGGGTGAAGAATTGTTTCCACCATCTTCCCATATACAAGCTATTAAAGCGCGGTGGTCGTCACGCAGCGCGTGCTAGAAATTCGTGTAAATAAACAATGTATTTTACACGCGTTGTATACGTCGCTATGAGTCCCATATCGAACAGGACGCTGCACGACGACTGCCGCCCTTTAACGTTTGTAATTGGACATAACCCGCATGAATAGAATAAATATGCTTACTCGTGTAGTCAATTTCGAACCCTGACTTTTCTGTACTTGAATCGGAATAGAAGTGAATATAAATGTTGCTTCCAGTACTCTGTATTACATCCGGGTATTTCACGCCACATAGTTTTTCAAGAAGCGGGGATGACGAACGCGAACCTAAAGATTGGAAAAAGTGTGAAAAAATCTATAATGTAATTCGAATAAAAGAGAATTCGAGGTTCAAATTCACGATAGATACATATTCAAATCATGATAGTAAAATAAAATCAAGTAATCGCATTAAAAGTAAAAATTCCGTTGGATTGGTTTGTCGTTCGCCAAGATGGAAAACGCAAATTCACGTGGTTTCAAAACAAGTCCAACGATAGATTCTGTAGTCATAATTAAACGTACTGCTAATATGAACTTTGACCTTGAGATACTCACCATCATTAATAACGAGGCTGTCATAGATACACGACATTGTCCTCTCAATCTCTAACGATTGAATTCTAAGTTCAATAAGGTAGTCGCCAGGTGGCGCTGTCAGCACCCATTTACAATCAGCGAAGCTCGGATAATTGGACGGATATTTTGGTGAGGTCAAAGTTAGAATTTCACCGGGGGATCCAACTCGAAGGTGTTGTATACCAGTCACACACTGACCTGAATGACAATACAAACAGAGTAACGCTCGTAAGCTAGTGATCTGTCAGTTTCACAGCTTCGAAAATAAATAACAGAGAAGAATAACTTACCAGAAGTTAAGACATTGGTGTAAATAATTATTAGGATTCCTGTAATATAAAGAAATATTTTTTACTATTAATTTAAGAAGTATGTGATGAATTCGTGGTCAAGTGACATCATATAGCATTACACAACGAATACGGCATATATCGTCACCGTGCAATTCTGAAGATAGAGGGCGCTATGACATACACGTACACAATAATTGATGACGAAGCAGTATTGCAGGTGTTCGTGAACAAGAGACACAGCAAATAGATTATTATAGTAACTGTTGCAAATGAAGATTTGTTTTTGCTGTATTGTAATTTTTAATACTGTACTGTTTCTCGTTAAATACATGATTTTGTCAGCTACAATAAATCCAATAGCCATTTTCTAAATACTCAGATACGTAAACCCGTACTACAATTCTTCCGGGGAAAAATAGCTACCACGACCGAATTTCAAGTTGACTGTCTTACTGACAGTCCGTATACAATAAATACCTACCTATAATAAAGAATTGGCATATAATCGTTGTTGCCATGGCAGTAAAGATCTAAACAATCGACAACTGAGTTATGAATCTGTAAACAAAACAGAGAACACCATATATTAGTATCTACACAAGACTGGAGTGTTATGTTGAAGGTCGCGTCGGTGTCTCGGCTACGGTTACATGACGTCACTGCATTGGACATAAAAGTCGTAATTTGTATTACGCTTAAAATAATAAGGTATGGTGATCTTCGACGGTAAATACACAGGTTATCGATATGTGCACGCTTATATTTTACTCGCTCATATTACGAGGGCGGTGGCCGACGTTGAGAGCGTGTAAAAATGTGTGTACAAAATATTTTACACGCGTTATATACGTCGCTATGGAAACCAATATCGAACGGGACACGGCACGACGGTCGTAGCCCTTTAAGAGTGACGTAAGATGTCCATTCCTGTGACTTACCTCAAATCATAGACCTTGGGAAAAGGGTCTATTCTCAAATCAACAAACGCGGTGTGCGTGCCATTTTCTGTTTGGTTTCATTTCAATGATCGGGAGGCGGGGTCATGGGTGAAATGTAGAGACAACAGAGACACCCCTGTTCACCACTATATCACTTGATTACTAGTATAATGGCATGAAACATTGCGCAAGGACTCCAAGATGAAACTCCGAGTACGATGGACATATATATAACAATAAGAGAAATATCAGCACATTTTACCTTGTATCTGAAAAGCGAGGTTATACAAAATTACTGTGTGCTTCATTCCTGTCATGTTTAGCGGTCTATCGCAGCAAAAAACTGTGCTACCGGTTACTCATGGAGTGTCACGTTATGCCGGCATGTTGTTTGGTTTATACAAAGGTAGACTAGGGAATCAACTACTTGAAATGAACACAATAGGAATGGGACAAGGTTAAAAGGTGAACAAAAATAACTGAGGTGGTTCCCTCGCGCACAACAACACGACACTGGAACTTGGAGTTGTACTGTCGATACAGCTTTGGTGCAGCCTCGTACAACATAAATGTCACCAGTTAGTGGTGTCAAGGTTATTCACTGTCTTCTGTATGAATTTGAGTTCACTCTGACCTCCATTGATTGTCGAAGTGAAAGTAGTTAGTTCGTTGAATTGAATTGGGGCCAGTCACTGTCGTCGACATTTTGCGTCGCTGTTAAAAATGAGCGAGTGAAGTAAGTGTGAATATATCATATTTTATTCATCCAAAGATTATTAAGTATAGAGTCGTCAAAT